AGAATATTTAATTACTTTCTTATACTGTATAATAAAATTATGATTTTAATTATATGTCAAATAATTAATCATTTACAGCAATCATCGATTAACAAGTTTTTAAATACAAATAAACTTTATATAGAACCACTGTATTATTATTACAACAAATAAGTTGATTGATAACACATTATAATGTTTCGTCTCATTGAATGTAAAGACGTGAATGTCGATCGTATGGATTGCATGGTTTGCGAAACTCATTCCCCATGAAGTGAATCCCTTTCGTGGCGATCCATTTGTGTCCCACCAGTACTGGACACCCGCTGTGCAGTGTCTGCCAATCGGGTTCACCTGATTTGTCGAAATTATGCCAAAATAGTGCCGAGTATTTTGTGGGCCAGACCGTCACGTTGATGAGTGGGAATACAGTGGCCCCACCGGCACCCACATCGCTCAGGTAGTTAAGCCACGTGGCGATACGCCCATATACATATGTCGCGTTTGGGTTAAGCTTTGCAAATCTGTCGAAGTGGGGTTCAAAATAGCCGCCGACACTATACTTACGACTGTACAACGGCAAGGCATTATCCAGTTAAATTATAATTTGTGATCAAAATAGCTGTTTGGACCATGTCGAATATACCTTGTTAATTTTTCGCGCTAACGAAAGGTTTTACTATTTTTAAATTAATTTAAAAGTTATCTGAAGCCTATTCACTAACACTGCACACACGCATAACGACTGTAACGTTATACGGAATCGAAATCTCTATGCTTTCAAAGGGCTGATTAGAGCCTATGTGTTAACTTTTAAATTAATTTAAAAATAGTAAAACCTTTCGTTAGCACGAAAAATTAACAAGGTATATTCTACATGGTCCAAACAACTATTTTAATTACAAATTATAATTTAACTGGATAATGCTTTGCCGTAGTAGTCGTTAGCAACATTGGATGGTTCGGTGACCTCCATGTTGAGGCCAGTGATGGCACAGATACGTCGGCTGATTGTGGGCATGAGTTTGTTGTGTCTCTCCAAATGACGACTACCGACCGCCAGTCGTTTATGAATACTGTTGACAGCATCCACTTTACCATTACGTCCGAAGTATATCCTCTGCAATGATGGCTGCGCTGAAGAGATGATGGTTTGTGTCTCGCATTCCGACAGGAATTCATGGATTACAACGATTTCCGGACTTTTGTACATCTCTTCCACTTTAATGCGAGTCAACCGTAAAAACGGTGTTTAAGTGAAAACACTTGAGTTTCGCGGCAATCGAGTCATTCATATGTCTTTCTCCGCGACATAATTCATATACGTTTGCAAACGATTCATAAATCGGTTTATCTTTGAGACCAAACGAAGTTGTATTCGTGTCGTTAAAAACCTTCATCTTTGATATCAACTCATTTGTCTCAATGTCTGACTTTATAGCTGTCGTCAGTCTCTTATATTTTTGGGCTTCACTTGGTTTTCCAATTTTCTGTTCACAAAACGACAGGTAATTAAAAATGTTGGCAATTATCTCATCGCTGGTCATGTCATCCAATCTATCGACCGCTTCTGTCAGCCATTGCTTTGCATTCGAGTACTCCCTGTTATCAAACGTTTGTTTTCCAATCAAATAGCAGTCGAAAGCATTTAAAGCATATTTGGATTGACTTTCATTTGAAGTCACTTCAGCACCGGAACTGGTCTTAGATTGGATGACATGACCAGCGATGAGATAATTGCCAACATTTTTAATTACCTGTCGTTTTGTGAACAGAAAATTGGAAAACCAAG